TACAAATTTGCTCATATTTTTTGAAAAAGGTAACTAGCTACTCAGACAAAGGCCTACTGGTAGATGTAATATACATGAATTTTGCTAAAAATTTTGATAAGGTACCACACAAAATACTGGCAAGGAAATTACAGGCCCATGGAATAAATGGTAAAATATTAGAATGGATAAAACAGTAATTGAAGGAAAGAAAACAAAGGGTGGTGCTATATGGAAACAAATTGAATGCCCAAATGAGCCATAGACACATTGGAAAGAACTTTTTTAGTGTCAGAGTAGTTAATAAATGGAATGCATTAGGAATTGATGTGATGGAGGCAGACTCCATACAGTTTCAAGTGTAGATATGATAGAGCCCAATAGGCTCAGGAACCTGTACACCAGTTGACAGTTGAGAGGCAGGACCAAAGAGCCGAAGCTCAAGCCCTGCAAACACAACTAGGCGAGTACATGCATATACCTATGTCTATCCTACTTTGACAGGGTAAGATAGCTGTTATAGAAACTAGTGTGTTGTTAAGCACTTAACCACTGAAGGTGATTTAGACGCTTTTACAAGCTCAGGTTATAGTTACATCACATACATTGAAAAACTGAAATATTACATAGTCAATCTTGGGTACAAGTCCAATATATCATCAAGTGTTCCAGTATTCATATAGTATTCAGAGTTCAGCATACCTCAGCCCAGGAGGGTGAAAGTCAGTCAATATGGGACATTCACAATATAGTGTTCGAGGGAGTGCATGTTTTCTCTTTCACAAAGTTGACACATGGGTGTATTCGACATTTGGGTTTTGAGAGAGCTGCCAGATACGTCTATATCCCAGGCATATTCTGGTCATTACAACATCACATTGCCAAGTTCTTGCTCTGTTAGTTCCATATGTCTCCTCACAATATTTATCATAATGTTTAATGCTACAACTTTCAGGTCTTTGTGAATTTGTTAGGTCAGTAAGATTTTCATTAGATATTTAAGTATTCTCTTTGTCACTGCTAATGAAACACCCATATCAATTTCTACTAGTGTTTTTTTACATTCTGTCCTTGCAAGCATGTCAACAGTGTCATACTGTATAAGGTTTTGAGCATGTAGATTGCACACAAAAATGGGTTTTGGTCTTTTACATAAAGCTAAATGCTAAATATAAATTTAGACTGTGGAAGGTCCCATAAGTACAGTCGGGTTCATTCTTGACTCATTCTTGACTTAACAGAGTAATGTTAAGAGCAGCAGCCAGCCCCGATATGTTTTATGAAACAGACATTAAAGTTACCATTATCTCTAGCTCCTGGGCCACTCAAGGCAAGTACTGTATACTGTACCAAATGTAGTGTCAAATCATGTTAGTTTATACTACATTTTAAGGTAAGTGAATATTGGTAATGTAATGCAAATGTTTGGGGGTGAATTTTCTCCCACAAAGACATGACAATAATTGCACATTGAAGAAGGGCATAGAATCTTTGGCCTGGAGCATAGTTTGACAATATGTCTTTGTAACATCCAAATTATCAGTCTTTATTTACTGTACCGTATTTAACTTTTGTTTAATAATATATAATTTAGATATACATATGAACACACACAAAATAGGATTAAAACAATTAAGGTTCAACATTATTTGTGTTTCAGTATTATAATATGGTTTAGCATAATAGTGGTACAAGTATTAGAGATGAAGGCAAATCAAATACTGTTCCTTAATTGTAGTGATTTGTTAATTATGTTTTAATGCTTTTGATTTTTTAAGAGAGCTAGACTGAAATAAACAGAACTATGTTGGGTTATCCTTCCCAGTATAAAGCACTAAATGTAAATTTAATTTTTATTATGAGAAAGATATGAGCTTCGTGTGCAGAACTTCACTTGGTACTTTGTATCAACAGATTGTGGAGAATTTCCGTCAGAAGCGAGCACAACGGAGCGTTTCAGTCATAGAAGAGGAAGATGAACCCACAACTCCCTCGACACCAAAGGCTCCTTCAACCCCATTAGACTAATGTTGTTTATGCAATATCAACACTAGTTATTGATGCACAGTTAAATTTGTCTTGATAAGATACATATATGAGAATACCACAAGAATTAACGTTATGAATGGAATAATAAACTAATTTAATGTATAGTACAGTACTTAGATATATAAGATAAATAATTCCATGACAATTTATTTTAATTACACTGACTTTTGATGGTCACTTATGTTAAGGAACCTCAAATCAAACAAATTTAATGGAGATGAACACAAAAAAAATGCTGTTTTATTAACGGCATTATTTATTTATATTTTGTATCTTGCATAGAAACTTTACTATTTCTGTATACGACATTTTGAAAGTCCTAAAGGAAATGTCTTCATTTATGGGGACATTTCCTTTAGTGGTTAGCTTAAATAATTCACCATTCTCTGATAACACTGAAGAATAACTAACTGGCAAACAATGTATGTGAGGTATGTATTCTATAAATGATTTTAAAGTTTTCACACTAGAACAGAACAGAGGGCTGCCTAAACAGATGGGGCGTTTGAAACCAAGACTGAAGGATTGTAAGATTATCAGAGACCAGGTAGATAAATTATGGACCTACTTAAGTGGAGAATACAAAAGCCATGGCAACTAACAAGATTTCACTATTGATACCAAGAGAAGGGGGTAGAACCCTGTTTTGGCTACATAGTATACACTAATATAAAAAAAAATTAAGTCACCAGATATGGGGGACCTACCTGAAACATGCACAGTATGCAAGATCATGGGAAAGACTGAGTCTAGCAGAACACCTAGGGAGAAGGTATCTTTAAAACAAAAAAACAGGATGGGTTCTGGAATACCAAATCCAGCCAAATTCTACTATTCATAATAATTCATTGGGACGGAGCCAGAGTTCACATATACATGTTAGGCTAAACACGTTTTGTAATTATCAGACAGCCTTTGATACAATACTGGGTATTATCTAGCATACAAATAGGAAAAACTGGTGGGGGTGGGGGGTGACTGAAAATATTAGAGCAAATAAGTGAGTGCTTCAATGTAAATATAAAAAACAGCAACAGTCACAGTAAGGTAAGAGTCATCAAAGTACTGTAACAGAATATTACTAGTGGGGTCTTATAGGGCTAAGTATTATTACATCCAGATTTAAGCGAATCATCTCCCAGAGGTGATAAACTTCTGATAAATATTAATTATGTAAAAATGATGAGGATACACATAAAGGAAGACTGCAAGAAGCTTTTGGAATACCTTAACAGACTGCAAGAAAGGTTTAGTATTAAATGGCTACTCGAGATTAACTCTGCAAGTACAAAGTAATGAAGATGTGCACATTTTTACTCAATAGGGACAGTTTTACTCAGTAAGGACATGGTCTTCACTCATTGAAGGCATAGTTTGTCAGTAAAGGCAGGGATTTCAATATCATATAATCAGTAGATTTGTAAGAAAATGAGGATGTATGAAATTACTAGTGGTTGCATCTCAGATTTAAAGGAATTCTTCAAACTAATTATGTCTGGACGAAAATTTCTGTAACTCAATAGGTTTGATATTATAACTTGTCAATGATGTGATATAAATTACAAAATTGGTAGAATTTAGACGATTGAGAATTGCTGTTGTATAGTGCTATACTGTATATTAAGTTTTAAGCAAGATTTGTGATAGAAATACAACTATCATTTGATAACATAGTAGGATCTCTGTAGGAGCTGGAAATAGCAAGGCTGTGAATAAAACTGTACATATTGTTGTAACATTACAGCAATTTATATGGTGCTATGGGAAATATTACTTTAACCAAAAAAATCTGCATTCATTCTAAAAAGATTAAATATTATTAGTGTTTTACATTTATCTATGTATCAAATATATACAGTATTTGATATATATTTTTCTTATTAATTTTGTCAATTCAGATTTATTTTACCATAAACTACAGCAACTTGGTTTTGAATGCTTTATGTAGACTAAACCACACACCAGAAGATGAGAGGATTCAAAATTCAAATGTTTATTTAGGTAAAGTACATACATACAAGGGGTGATACAGATATTGATGAATTTATAGATAGAGCTAGTACATACAATGCCTAAAGCCACTATTACGCAAAGTGTTTCGGGCAGGGGAAATGACAATATGATGACAACAGTAGTCCAGGATGAACCAAAACAAGTCAATTGAGGTGACACAATCTACTTGATAATGCAGGCGATGAGTCACAATAACGTGGCTAAAGTATGTTGACCAGACCACACACTAGAAGGTGAAGGGATGACGATGTTTCGGTCCGTCCTGGACCATTCTCAAGTTGATTGTGTGAACGATCACACAATCGACTTGAGAATGGTCCAGGACAGACCAAAACGTCGTCATCCCTTCACCTTCTAGTGTGTGGTCTGGTCAACATACTTGATAATGATCCAGGCTGGACTGAAACATCGTCGTCTCATCTTCTGCTTGTGTGGTTTAGTCTTCATATCTTCAGCCACATTTTTGTGACACATTGTCTGCAAGCCTTTATGTAATAAAATAATATTTATCAACTAATATTGAATCATCATACAAAGACGCAAATTCTTACTTGAAAGAAATATTCTTTGGTACCCTGTAATGTGTGCCTTAGAGGGAGGGGGTATCAAACATGTTCAGTGCTTGTTTTTCATTGGAAGAACAAGCACTGAACACAGCCTGAAGGATAAACTCGGCTACAAAGAGTGTCGACTGCATGGTGTATAAACTAGTTCACGCACCATAATTTGTCCCATAAAATGAACAGAATGCCCTCAACCACAAGGTTGTACAGAAGAATCCAAGACTCGTGTACTACCTTAGGGCATGGCTCTCCACCCTGGTAGCCTGGCCTCTCAGGGATGAACTCCCAAACACACCAAAGGAGGCAACACTGAAGGCTGCATAGGCCTAGGGAAAGTGACCCCAGGGCCCATGCAGCTTCAAGTGAAGATAATGCCCAGTTCTCTCAACAGTGTGGATTGAAAACATGCTCGTGACATAAAATTCCAAAAATTAAGAACGATGTGTTGGCAAAAAAAAAAAAAAAAAAAGAGAGAGAGACCCATAGAATGGAGTCCTTAGAATACCTAGCATGTATCTTAGAGAAGAATATGAACTGGATGACTGACAGGCTAGGGAAGGCGAGAAGTTGACTCTGGTTCATCAACTACAAAATTGAACGCAAGAATTGGGATGCTGGTTTTGCTGATGGCTGGCAGTTTTGTGCATGCATGTCGAGGGTAGTTGCTTCTTGCCCAGTTTCGTATAATCCTTTTTGTTTCGAGTGATTCTTTTATATTGTCTTTTGACCAATTTGATGTTTTGTTTTCATGAAACGAGTAGTTCTGAATTGTTTAGTTTCCTTACGGGGTGCTTTCTTGGTGAGGGTGGTGATGATAATCCCATGCTCGCTGTGCCTCTTAGAGGGGTGCAGGTTCTGGCTCTGTAAGGCAAATAACACTCCTATGACTGATGTTTCTATTTATTGGAAAGCTACAATGGCAACATAGCTTCAGGGAACCACTGGAGCTTCCCCAGAACATAGCCGTGGGCTAAGAATCCACCTTGCACAATTCATAATGATGGTTTAACCTTTTGACCTTGCAAGTAACATTACATAATAATAGTCCTCATATACATATACACATACGAGAATGAAGTGCAATGGTGCACTAATCAATGAAAATAACCCAATATTTTGAAAACATGAGGAAATGAAGACTACTTTTATCCCAATGCGGTATCCTCTTCAGCAGTGAGTGAGAATAATGACTGTAGCTTCTTTATGGCATCAAGTCAGGCATCCTGGAAAGAGGTGCAAGCCTCATTATTCTCGTTCTCTGCTGAAGAGGATACTGGGTTGGGATCAAAATATACAATATTCCTCGTGTTTTCAAAATAGTAGATTATTATTTTCATACATATCTTAGTCAAAAAAAATTTATTATTGAGTCTTCTAGTACTGTACTATGCTTGCTTAATGCTGCCTGTGTTGTTCTATGTAATACTGTTACTCGTAAGACCTATGATGTAAAAACTGTTAATGAACTTTTGACCTGGATTCTACCTTACAGATAGGGTGGACAGGCCTATGTGTCCCCATTGGACTGGGTGAGAGAGTATAGTTAGGCTTATGCTTTCCTTTTTGGCCAGGTGAGATAGGATGAGTAAGCCTGTGTCTTCTACATTTGGCTTAGAGATGTATAGAAAGCCTTTATGTATGATTCCAAATTACTGGTAAAAAATACTGATATTATATAAGGATTCATCTATGTATATATATATATATGTACTTCATACTAGATGCATATTATGGAAATTATACAAGGGAATCCTTATATAGCATGATTCAGAGTGTAGGCCTATCTTGAGGTTATCTTCTTCTGCCATAACATTTTGTTTATAAAAATTCTTATACAAGTGATGACCCAATAAATGTTTCAGTGATTCAATTCAATTAAAATTAGAATAAAATAAAGTTTCCTTTATTATTTGTGAAATGCTGAATATTTGATACGTACAAATATTCATAAATCTGCTGTGATATACAGTATGTGCAGTGTATGTTAAGTGGAATACAGTATTTATGTTATGATAAATTTCTCAATAAAATACAGTTTTGGCCTGTTAAAACATTATAAACCTTAAGTAGGGGAACCAAAACGCACAATGAATGCTGGTAAAGTATGCATAAATATCCACCAGTGTGTGATGAGCAAGATTATTGTTAGTGAACAGTAATGTGTTAAATGCATCGCAGCTCCGGAGTCAAATATACACGTGGTTTTGATGTCTATATACCAGGATATTCAAATAATTTCTAAAGGAATCACAAGGAAATGTTTCATACAGTAAAGAAAGAAAACAGATAAAACTAAAGTATATATATAACTCAAAGGATTAATACAGAGCGAAACTCGGTATTATGAAGGAAACTTGTCAAACAAAGTTGTTGAAAAAAAAGTAAGTAGCACATCATGCTAACTGTGTTGATAATATTGCAACAATAACAAATGCCTCAACTATGGTTGGCTGTAACAGATGCTTTGTGTCCTGATTACTACTTCAGACTCTCAATTTGACTTCAGCCTTTAGTTTAGCTTTTAAGTTTTAATAGTTTGACTTTTACCTTTTGGAATTCTTTCCAGAACGTTAAGATATGCAGCCTGGTTCTCATAGCTGCACATTTTATAATAAGAATATTGTTGTCCTTATGTAGACTAGTTTATATGATGTACTCATTACGTGTTTACTCTATGCATGAAAATACTGCACATTCTTAATTTGTACGTATTGATTATAATTTAATTAGCACTTGTGTGTACTGTAATTTAATATCTACAGCAGCTGTAGACAGAAAATATAAGTAAAATGAGTCTCTGAGCACTTCTTATACCCATAATAAAGTTCATCAAATACTTTTGATGCTACATGTAAATTAAAAAGAGGGTATCAGTGTTACTTTACTTTCCCCCTGTATTCATTTGCACTACAGTGTTATAATAATTTGACAAATATACACTTATATGATATGCAAGATATCCAAATTTGTCGTAATTCTTTTATGTGATATATAACTTGCCCAAAGTTATATATTTTAGCAAACTAATTTCTGTCATGTCTGCTGAAAAGTGGAATTTGACAGCTGAACAATGATACTGGAAAGTAATTAAAATTTTTGCTACACTTTCTGGAAAAAGTGAGCTTCACTGATAATTTCATATGTGAATTATGCTCCAAAATATTATATTTAAGAAGTTATTCGTTAAAATGAAGTTTGCACACAACCTAGAAAGAAGCATGATATTTTAATGTCTCATGCAATTCAAAGCTAGAATGGTTGTAAAGGTCTATCTATGCATATTAAATTAGGCTTATAGAGAACTTTATATCTTAAGTGTTGTCCTGATATTTTGTGATAATGAACAAGTACTGTATCTACATACAGTAATATCTCTATGTACTGTGTATGCATGTGTGTGCATAGCTGTGTGTAATTACCTAATTGTATTTACAGGATGAGAGCTACTCTCCTGGTGTCCCTTCTTCCCAGTAATTTTGTTGTATAAAGCTTTGAAACTACTGTTTTGGCTTCCACCACCTCACTTAGGTTGTTCCAACCGTCTACCACTGATATTTTTTAAATCTGATAAAACCTTCTGATATTTTTTTGGCACCTTTGTTTCCTTAGCTTGAATCTGTGCCCTTTTGTCCATGAAGTTGCTGGTTTCAAGAATTTCTCTTTGTCAATTTGTTTGATTCCTGTTAGTATTTTGTAAGTGGTGATCATATCACCTCTTTTCCTTCCATCTTCTAGTTTTGACATGTTTAACGCCTTCGTAACTCTAGGTTTTCAGTTCCGGAAGCCACTTTATAACATGCCGTTGCACCTTTTCCATGTGTATGTGCGCGGGCACGCACGCACGCACACACACACACACACACACACACACACACACACACACACACACACACACACACACACACACACACACACACACACACACACACACACACTGTGTGTGTACTCACCTAGTTGTGCTTGTGGGGATTGAGCTTTGGCTCTTTGGTCCCGCCTCTCGACTGTCAATCTTTCAATCGACTGTCAATCAGGTGTACAGATTCTGGAGCCTAATGGGCTCCATCAAATCTACATTTGAAACTGTGTATTGAGTCGGCCTCCACCACATCACTGCCTGATGCATTCCATTTGTTAACTGCTCTGACACTGAAAAAATTCTTTCTAATGTCTCTATAGCTCATTTGGGTACTAGGTTTCCACCTGTGTCCCCTTGTTCGTGTTGTGGGTCCTTTGACATGTTGGTTTAGAAACTAATTGTTTCACACATCCAAGAGTTTAGCTCTCCAAGAGATTTATTTAGCTTTAGTTTAGTTTGTGTGTGTGTGTGTGTGTAATTACCTAAAGGTGTGACTGCATGTGGGTGTGCATACATGTATGGGTACCTGCATAGCTACATTTCTGTGCATGTTTACACGCTGGTATGATATGAATTGTTAAGGTTTAGCAAATTTGTTGATTTCAAATTTATTTTTAATTAATAAACACACATACCTGTACTATCTAAACAACCTCTCCTCTTACAAATTACGTCTGAATTTGGTCGTTTACTCTGTTTGGCCGAAAATGGACATACTGTACTGTAATTTAAAAATGATTTTTGTTTAAATAAATTTTAGATTTTTTTTCCAAAGCAGTAAGTTATGGGTCCTCTGGTAGGTTAGGAAGGCAGGAAATTCTCCTAAAGTTTCAAAACATCATGAAAAACATTAATTGAATGTTTCCTCTCCTAACCCTTCCGAGTAAGCCGGAGGACTCGAACAGAAAACGGGACAGTACATCACTTTCATGAGCCGATTTCATTTTAAATCACATCCATTTTTGGCCATAGCCCGCATACGAACGAAAAGAGATGCTATTTTTAAGAGGATGGGTTGATCTAAATGTAAGGTGCTAATCTGAAACTCGTTGAATGGCAACATTACATTTATTGTTATTCTTTTAAGTTAAATTTTATGTTTTAATGTAACTGTAACATTACAGTATTATAATAGGAATCCATCTACCTAATGAATATCTAGTGATAAATATTTAACATTTTATAATAGTGGGTTGCCAGCTGAACCTATAGGCTGGCTCAACTGTGCTATACTGAATGACAGACCTATATGCAAGTGTACATCAAGACCTCTGTATGTAAATGGGAAATTATTAACTATAGAATTTTGTTGAATGATTACATATATAAATAGAAGGGATGCATTAATTACCCATAGTGGTTCATGCTGTTGTAACAATAAATTTATACCCCCATGTGCAAAATTACACTATATCTGAAGCTTCGCCTAAACAATGCCATTCCTACCCTCAGAATTCTGCTCTAGTCTAGCTATAACTACACTCAACAATCCCTTATGAACTCCAATTAATAATCCCTATTAGGAATTGTATTATTATAACTATTTAGACAATGTTACATATTTAAATACTACTCAGTCCATTACCTTTAACTCAAAACTACCTATTTTATGACGTGTTACTTTTTTATGAGTATTATTTACATAGACATGTGATTGATTGTGTTTATAAAATATATTCTTTACATAATGGAAATTACTTGTTTGATCAACCTAAGACAATTTGCTTATATGCATCTCCTCGGGCAGCTCGTCCTCCAAAAATGGGTAGGTAAATGTAATAGCACAAGTGCAATTATGTACTATTCATAGCAGTCAGGAATTGTACTTATTTTCACATAGTATTAAACAGTAATGGCAAATATATTGTGAATATTTGAGTTTACCTGAAAAGCTGAATAGAAAACCACAACCTAACTTAACCTTCTTAGTGTTTGAAGATAAGCATTTTATTGCTTCTTAATTACAATTAGTACTTAACTAATAGCTATATTGATATGTATTACA